TATTCCTGGTCTTCCCATTATCCCATTCCTATTGATATCCCCAAGAGTGTGTGTTCAGCCTTCAGCCCTAACATGAAGTCTTTATTCAAGTCTTAGCAAAGATTTGGAGTTCAGGTTGTGGGTGAAGCGGTTGACTTGCTCGCCAAGCCGGCTTGTTTGCATTCAAACGTTTCGTCAACATGCTAGGTAACATCATCAGTGAGGCCTCTGATGAAGCGATGTTGTTCTACTTCATTTGGAAATTATACTGTCTGTCCATTATGGTGAGTAGTGTCATTTCCGGTTTTTGTTCTGTATGTGTTTGTATATGGGGTCCAATTCTATATGTTTGTTGATTGCACTATGGGTTGAGAACCATGCCTCTAGGAATTCCTGTGCGTGTCTATGTTTGGCTTGGGCTACTATAGTTACGTTGTTCCAGTTAAACTGAAGGCCTTCAATGTCTGAGTGTACTGTTATTAAGTGTACTGATATTCATCTGCAAGTGCCTACTAAATAGACAATAAGAGGACACAATACGCCCTAACACACTGGCCACACTGCCCTACATCAAGAACATATCAAAATTGACGAGACTCCTACGATCACTAGGAATTGTGGTAGCACACAAGCCCACAGCCACTCTATAACAAACACTCACAAGGATTAAAGACCCCGTTCCCACAACATGCAGAACCAATGTAGTTCACAAAATATGATGCAACGACTGCCACAAACATTACATCAGACAGACAGGAAGGAAACTAGCCATCAGAATACATGAATGTCAGCTAGCAGCAAAACGACATGACAAACTTTCCTCAGTATCAGTACACTCGGACAATGAAGGCCATCAGTCTAACTGGGACAACATAACTATAGTAGCCCAAGCCAAACATAGACACGCACAGGAATTCTTGGGGGCATGGTTCTAAAACTATAATGCAAACATATAGAATTGGACCCCATATACAAACCCATACAGAACAAAAACCAGCAATGACACTACTCACCATAATGGACTGGATAGTATGAATTCCAAGTGGAGTAGAACAACATTGCTTCATTGAAGGCCTCATTGATGATGTTATCTAGCATGGTAATGAAACATCTGAACGAAATCAAGCCAGTTCGTCGAGCGAGTCAACAACCTCATTAAATCTTTATATAGAAGGTAGCAGACACCATTTGACTGAGACTTCTCATCAACTGATCAACTTAAAGAGGCTTTTTCCCATAACACTAAATGTCTGCACAAATAAATGGCTACTTTCTGAGGGAGGCAAGTTAGTGAAGAAGTTTGTACTCACCAGAGCTCAAAAGAAGCAGTTGACTCCACCAGGTACACATCTTATTTATATAATCGGGCTGTGAACAGATGTATTTCCAATTTTTGGCTGACAAAATTGTACCCACGAACATAACTGAAACAGGTTGGGGTGTTAATGAAAATTCATGAAATGCTTAATGAATGCAAAAGATAGTATCAACAATTAGAGGGTGGCATGGTGGCTCAGTGGTTAGCACTGCTGCCTCACAGCACCAGGGACCGGGATTGGATTCCACTCTCGGGCGACTGTCTGTGTGGAGTTTACACATTCTCCCTGTGTCTATGTGGGTTTCTTCCGGGTGCTCCAGTTTCCTCCCACAGTCCAAAAATGTGCAGGCTAGGTGGATTGGCCATGGAAAATTGCCCATAGTGTTGAGGAATGTGTAGATTAGGTGGGTTAGAGGGGGATGGGTTTGGGGGTATGCTTTGAGAGTCGGTGTGGACTTGTTGGGCCGAAGGGCCTGTTTCCACACTGTAAGGATTCTATGATGCAATTAGAATTGGGAAATATGACTGCTTGTAAAGTTCTGAGAACTTAATAGAAAGTTCAACCCACTGTCAAGATATAAAAATTCTGCCTCCTACCAAATTAGGTTCCCCAACTTACCATTCTCAAAGCTTCATGTGGGACCAGGTAATAAAGCCTTAAGTAAAGCTCTCATTATTGATATTTCAACTCTCTTTCCAACCTGAAAATCTGATCAAGTTTTGTGATTTTTAATTAACCTAACTAATAGCAAGGTTTTTCTTTTGGGATGGGATAAGTGGAAGAGAGAAGAGGTATGAGATTCAGAGCTCCAATTGTTCTGGACTTGCCAACCAGAAGAAGTACCTTCTCAGTACAGTGTTTACTCAATTGGATATACTTAACTCTCAAAACATTTCAGTCACCAATTAATCTTCTATAATCAATGGCATACAAGCCTAGTATATGCAATTTGCTATCATTTAATCCTTATGGATCCAGTGCCATTCTGGTGAACTTATGTTGTGCCTCTTCCAAGGTCTATGTATCTTTTCTGTACACAGGTGTCCAGTACTATTCAGAGAGTCCAAGCAGAGCTAGGTACAGGTATGACATAAATTACAAACTATTGTATTCCAGCCCTTTTCACATAGAAGTCAACATTCCATTAACCTCTATAATAATTATCCAAGAGGTGTTCAAAGGTAGTGTTTCAAAGGCTACCCGAAGGCTGCCCTCAAGAAATGCAACATAGATGTCAACACACAGGACACCCTCATTCACAAGAAACTGACTTGGAGGAAACTTCTACATGAAGGGTCACAAATCTTCGAGAACATTCACAGGCAAGAGGAAATATGGAAAAAGGAACTGAAGAAAGGAATGCCAACAATCTCAAGGCCAAGGACAACTTCCACCTCCCAGAAACACTTACCACATTTGTGGTCAGAGATGCGGCACTGGGATTGGGCTCATCAGCCACAGAAGGACCCACAGACACAAATGACCAGTGACACAAAATATCCTCGGTGGACAAACAATTCTCGTTAGTGAGTGATTGCTGATGACAATAAATGTTCAGCAGCTTTGAGTTATCTCTGTACTTGAACCCCTAAATCTTTCCATTCATCCATAAATCCTATTTTCTCACTATTTGGAAAATAAAAAGTGGATGACGCCATACTTTCCCACATTGAGATCTATGTACCAAAGTTTTAGCCAATCACCTAAATTGTCATTGGTCATTTGCAACTTGCTGCTCACATCTGTATTTTTTACTGCATCAAATGAGGTAATATCATCACCAATTCAGATTCATAGCTTTCAATTCCTTTATCCAAGTCATTTTTAAATATGGTGAAAACTCAAAGCCTCAATGCACACCTTTGGCGGGCACCACTTGCCATACCCTATCAAATTTGACAACATACTTCGTATCCCTATTTCTTTTGTACAGTGACTATTCATTTACAATACCATTACAGTACCTGTTCTACAATTTATGTTTGAGATAACTTTTCAAAGTAATGGGCATAATTTGACAGGTCAGGTTCAATTTGTAGGAGTCATGCATGACTATCTCAACATGCTCCCTGAGCCCAATAGGATTTGCATCACCTCTCCCATTAATCTTTTGAAAGCCAGAAACATTAGCCTAGAACATGCAATTGATTGCCTTTAAATTAAAAAGAAAATACTGCAAAATATTGCCAGATCCCTTTTTAACTTCATTCAACAGCTTCGAGCCTTTGATTGCTCTTATGACATGCAAGGGCAATGCCTCAACTTTGCCTGCACAAGTGAAGGATTCACATTCAAATCACCCTATCACCACACTTTGAGTTGGAATGTATACCTTCCACTGTTGGCACTTGAAAAGAATAAGGGCACTTGTATTCAAGAGAGAACGTGGAAGACAAAGAAGGGATTTTTTTTTGAAAAGTGTATAACTCTGACCGGCTGTAAAACTAACAGATTCATTAAACCCTCACATAACATCAATCACTTTCAAAATCTCTTTCGTACAAACCATTTAAGGAAAGTCCAACTTGATATGGCTTATATCACATAACAATTTAAATGAAGCTTTAATTCTTTTTAGGTTTGTGATAAATCAAAAGTAGAATTTCTGGGAAAAACAGTGACAACACAAACCAGCTGTAGTCCAGTTATCCAAGATTAATTGATCAAGATGAGATATGGTGCTTTAAAACAACTAAACTTCCATTATGAATTTAGAAAGTTTATGTAATAGACTTTCCCTCAAAATTATTACTTTGTTGGAACTTAAGTCTTAATATTGGCAACATTCCATCTGGAATGATCATTTTATGGAAGCATTCCAAAGTTGAGAAAAGGTGAACATGATTGCCCACAGAAGGCGATTGTATTTTATTCCCCTTCATGTTTCACATTTTCACAGTACTAAATGTCAGACAAGCACTGTGACAAATCAGAGACAGTGGAGGGATCAGGTGAGGTGATGGTGAGCTAGAGCTGGGTGTTGTCATCACACAACAGACAGGCAGGCAAACATTCTTTTTAGATGCTGTTGCCTCGGACTGTATGTAGCTGAGAAACAGCAATCGATCCTAGGATGTCAGAGATAACAGGTCAGGAGTGGAAAGACAAGTAATTACATGTGATTCTCTGATCATGGCTCAGTAGAGAAGAATGAAACTGGCTGAAAGCAGTCCAACCTACTGGGACAACAGAGGAGTTCGGGGAAAAAAGGTGATCAGCTGCAATGGCTACAACTAAAATGATGGACAGGGATGGTTTGCTGCAGTCAGATGGCATTTGTAAATCTGATTAAGTAACAACATCATGGCAAGGAGGAACCAAATGAGAGGGATAAAAAAAGAAACCAAATTTCCACTGATTCCACTATTTCCAACCAACAGTGAGAATTAGACAGCTCTCACATTACTCACATTCATTATGACACCAAATCCTCCAAACAACTGCTCAATTTCAAAGAGAATTGAACACAACATACAGTAGTGACTACATGTTTAGAGGGAGAGTTAAATAGCATTGAAATCAAAAGGAAATTGTAGTGACACAATAATACATTCAGAATATAAAAACGGAACTGAATTACCCCAAATAAGAATGACTTCATGCAACTCATTTTCCAAACTTAGATTTTTGATGGTTCCTATTTAGTGCTAATGTAGATATGTAATCTTGTATTCCCCAACACTTTAGTACATCAACCATTACCTTTATGCTCTGCAGCATTTCATTCGATTTCTTTATTCTCTCATCTGTATATTCCATTGTTTTTCTTTGAATAGAAGCAAATTGTTTTGAGATGAAGTACTGAAGGGGGATGAGCACAATGATGATAGAAACCCCTATCAAAGCACTATACCCCAGTTGCGTATAGAGTAATAGCACTGCCAGTACAATCTGAAATCAAAATACAATTAATACATTTATTAGAATATAAATCATTCACATTGCAATAAGTACTAAAAGCAAAAACAAACCAGTTCACACTCTTGTATTAAGAGCTGGTCCATCTCCAAGCCAAGCATGTAGAATGGGGATTTTTAAAAATCTCTAGCAGTTTATCATCCTTGTTTATCAGTTAGTATGGAATTTGAATATTTTGGCCTTATGTAAAGCCATGGTACTTCATATAACCTTACATTAGCACATTTTGTTTAAAAGTGTTTGCTTTGTGTACCTAACTGTCCTTTTCTAATATTTTCCAACAAGACCTTCAGAATATGGAAAGTTAGAACTTTGTCCACATAAGCTCAAAAGAACAGCACTTCATCTTTCATTAAGTGCTCTACAAGCTTCCAGACTCAACATAATTTCAGACTATAATTTATGTCTGCACTTTGCTTCTTTTTCTTTGCAGATTACAATTTTAGTCTAATTTCTTCCCTCATTTCTGTTTTCAGATGGCAGGATTTACCAATCTGCCATTCACATTTCCTAATTTGGAAGCAGTCTTGTTCAGCCTAATCATTTGTTGGAGACATGGATGAATTTGGTAACTAGGGAATGGAGTTTGTGAAGGCAGCTGAAGATAATGGCTTCAAGTGTTCCCAATGTTTAGGTAGAGAAAATTACTCTTAATTTATACTAAACATCAGACAGGCAGTGTGGCAAATGAAACATTATTGACAGTCTGTGAGCTAACCTAAAGGAGGAGATAAAATTGATAAAATTTCAGGTATGATCTACTTCATACATAATGTTTTTCATTTTCTATTAAATCAACATTCATTTAGTTTTATGTAGACAACGTACCTGTATTGGAATTGCAATGACATAGTATCCCATAAATGCTGCCATCATTATTTGAAAAGCATCCACTGACATGTGATTGATTATCTGGCCTACTGTCAGATGACCTCCATTGACGACCCACATAGGCAGTGACAAAGCTTTCAAGTAAATCATCGTCTAAGAAAATCAATGGAAAACACACCGAAGTTACCGATGAAAGTAGTTCTCATTTACCGTGCTATTTTAGTCATACTGTTTTATAGAAATGGGTTTAGGTTACACATTGTCCAAATAGACCAGTACTTTGCTTTAAAACTAAGATCACAAACCAAATCCATGAAATCAATACAATGAAGACAATTTGCAAGGAAGGAAGCCAAGGTATCTGCCAGCCGTCAGGAAATCCAGAAATGCCAGGAAATTGGAGGTCTTGCCAAATTCAACTAAAAGCTAAAGGAAATTTTTTTAACCTGATAGTCAGCCTCACTGAAGACAGACTCACTGTCAGACAGGAAAGATGTATTTCAAAGCAGCAAGCCAAAAATGACCAAGCCCGTCCTTGGCAATGGGCAGATCTGGGTTCGGGAAAAGATTGTTGTTAGATTATGAAATCCAACAATTGGATAATGGGCAAAAGGGACAGGCAGAAGTCCATTACTGGGGTTGGAAGGCAGTGTTTAAGATCAGATCATAGAAGGAGGCAAGGTTTGAAGAGGAGAATATTAGAATGGAGGGCAGCAAGGGGGGAAAAGTACATCAGTGCTTCCAAGTCCCAAAAAACGGTGTTAAATTAGTACTTAACTGCTGAATCTGGGCTTTAGGAGTTCTTGCCTACCCTTAGCTCTGGTTAACACAACTCACAGGTGATACATTCAAATTGTTGCTAAATTCTGACCCATAGCCCAATTTCAATATAACTGCTAACTTGCTTTGCACAACAGATTATTTATCAACAATAAAACTGTTCATTATACGAGAAATAGTTGCATTTGAAATGGCTTTGTTTCCCTAAATGTATGAAATAATTTCTAATGGCACTGTTAAAATGCAGAATTGCCTCAGTTCCCTATATGGCAAATCCTAAACTGCAATTAGAGTCCAGCTTGAAATTAATTTTCAACTCCTCTGTCTGTATTTTTTGAGCTCATTGTCAGTCCTTTAAAATGTGAATAATGTCTCTAAAACTTTCTCATTTTGTCCCATTTGTTCTTGCACAGAAATACAGTGGAATTTTTTTTTTTGAACAGAACACCAATTCCTCATGCCAAACAGGACCTCAGCAGTCACTCTGTCTGCCAGCACATAGAAAGTTTCTCAATGATCTCTCAGTCCTCAGGAATTGATTTCGATGATCGGTTGGATCTTGGAGGTTGTGATGGAGCCCAACTCCTCGAGAGTTGGAACAGTCTCCTGGCTATGGTGGCAGCTGGAGTATCAGTAACGATGGCATTGGCAGAGGCAGCATTCTGGCTCAAGAATTTCAAGTTCTTAACATTACCCTTCAGCGTGAAATATAAAAACGGATTTTGGGGAAAAAAATGTTAACAACCTAAATGTTGACCAATAACACATTTAACGCCTTAAAGCAAAATTTCCTTTGAGATGTCAAAGAGAATGCGAAAGAACCATGGTAAGGGGAGCAAGCATTTCAGCTTCTTGAACCTGTTTTGCCATGGTCACACCATGGTTAACCTATATATCAATTTAATCTAAGCTTTCAGTTCCATAATTCTTAATACCCTTACCCTTGCCCAACAAAAAGTTAGCTGTTTAAATAAGAGGTCAGAATTTACTTAGAAAACACTTTGACTGCTGTCCAAAAACAACTGTTAAATTGCATATGCTAGGTGTCAAATGAAGATCTGACCTCCTCCTACCACTTAATAGCCTACACGCAGTCTAGGCTTTGTCTGAATACGGTCACTTTGTTAAGGTGTGGATCATCACTAGACTTCTGTAGAATTAAACTGTTGGAAAAACTTGACAGTTTAGAAAGGGGGACAGGATTTATAAAACTGACTTAAAGACAGAGAGAAAGAAGAAAAATTGCATCTTACTTGAAGAGCTGTTTTAATGTGTATTCCATCCCGGATAACAATGTAGTATGAAATCTGTAAGCAAACATTCTGAAGGAGAACTGTACATAGCATCAAGAATGCCAATACATATCCATTACTAATAAATTCCCAGAAACTCACAAAATGTATTCCCTGTGTAAAATGAAGATATAGAACAGTATTAATTATATCATTAAAGGACGACCAAAGCCTTTTCACAGCTATTTATACATTTATGTTCATATGTACAGATCTGTTAACCTAACATCAGTAATCAGGAAAAAGCTAAAATCTATTGTTAAGTTGTGATAACTGGACACGTAGAAAATAATGGTAGCATTAGTCAATCAACATTGATCTATGAAAGAGAAATCATGTTTAACAAATCTATTAGGAGTTTTTGAGCATGTATCTATCATCATCAGAATCCTCATCTAACAAAACTGAAAATAAGCAGCCAGTGGATCTGGTACATTTAGATTTTCCAAAGGGTTTGGATGAAGGTCCAACACAGAAGATTATTAAACAAAATTACAGCATGAGATTTGGGATAATATACTGGCATAGAATAATTTACAGACAGAAAACAAAATAGGAATAAACAGATCATTCTCAGGTTGGCAAATTTTATCAATTTCTCTTGAATACCTTCCACAGGTGAGCCTCACCAGCATCTGAGATGGAGAATTCCAAGGATTTGAAAAATTCCTCCTCATTTCATTGCAAGTGAAATTTAATCTCTTACTCTGAGACTGTGTCCCCCAGTTCAAGATACTCCAGGAGAAACAACCTTCCTGCATTTACCATGCCAAACCCTGTAAAAATGTTAACGCTTTGAGGAGATCACCTCACATTCTTCTAGGACATACAGGCATAATCTCCTCAGTCTCTCCTTGAAAGGACGTTCCTGTACATCTGATGCATCAGTCTGATGAAACTTCATTGTACTCCCTCTATGACAAGTATACGTTCCTTTCAGTAAGAAAACCAAAACCATACACAAGACTCCAGGTGCAATCTCACCAAGACTCTAAACAATGACAAATCCTCCTGCAATAAAGACCAATGTACCATTGCCTTGCTAATTGCTTGCTATACCTGCATGTTAACTTTCACAGGTTTATAAAAGAGAGCAAATTTGCTTGAAGCCTCCTCACAATCACATTGTCACCTAGACCTGCTCATTAGCAAACTTGGAAGTATTACAGTTCATCCCAAATCCAACTCATTGACGCAGGTTGTGAATAGCTGAGGCCAACTACTGATTCTTGTGGTGCCCCACTAGTCATAGCCTGACAGTCAACTGTTCCTCACTCAAAATTTTAAAACTGCAATGCCTTTTAGGTACTTCAAGTTTTTTGACTATAAACAAAATATAATGAAATGTCATGTAGGCCTTCAGTTTTAGTTGGGATAAGACCATTTTATGGAAATTACAACACAGTGAGCTACTCAGCCAACCATTCCTGTACTAGCTTTTGGAGTCACAATCAATTGCTCTCACATCATGTATTTATAATCAGGCCTTTAGGTTATGATAGCACTGGAATGCTTTTTTTAATATAAAAGTTAGGTTGGATTGCAGTGTTAAGAGCATATACTTTATTTATGGCAGTTCTCTGACTTACAGTTAGGTCAATGTTTGCATATTTTGATGTGATGCAGTTTGCCGTACAGTTTTTATACACAGTTTACCCCTCTCAGCAAAGTTTTAGTGAAAGGCATGCATTCTTCCAAGGATGGCAATATTTTTGTTTAGTCAACATGCTTAGTTAGTCATCAGACTAATTCCTGGGATTGCAGGACTCCCTTATGAGGGAGATTGGAAAAACTGGGCCTGCATTCGCCAAAGCTTTTAAAAAGGTGATATTATTAAAACTTACAAATTCTTATAAGATGTGACAGAATAGATGGGGATTTGATGTATTCCTGGTTGGTGAGTCACCAACTGCTGTAGTGACAGTGGAACCCAGGTCCCCAGAACATTATCTGGGTCTCTGGACTAAGTCCAGCAATAATGCCACTAGGCCATTGCTTCCCCATTAAGTATCAAGAATCTATTTCCTGCTGCCTTAAAAATATTCCGTGACTGTTCCCACCACCTGTTTAGAAAGATAGTTCTAAAAATTCACAGCTGTCAGAGGAAAAGTCTTATTTGTCTTAAATGGACGACCCTTGATTTTTAAACAGTGACCCCCTAGTTCTAGATTCTTCCAGAAAGGGAGAATCTTTCCACATTCATGTATTCAAGACCATTCGAGATCTTACATGTTTCAATCAAGCCACCTCTGACTCTTCTAAATTCCAGTACATATATGCCTGGCCTGTTTAACCTTTCTGCACAGGCCAATCCAGCCATTCTCGGTATTAGTCCAGTAACTTTCTCTGAATTGTTTCCAATGCATTGTATCTTTCCTTAAATAAGGAGACCCAAAACTGTATGCAATACTCAAGATATGGTCTCACCCATGCCCCATGTAGTTGAAGCATAACCCCTCCACTTCTGGATTAAATTGACCTAGTAATCAATGATAACATTCTATTAGGTTTTCCCCTTTACTTGCTGTACCAACCTTACTAAACTTTTGCAATTCATAAACTAGGAAGCCCAGATCCCTGTGTACCTCAGAACTCTGCAATTTCTCATCATTTTAGACAATAATGCACCTACTTTTTAATCTTGCTGCCAGAATGGATAATTTCACATTTTCCCACATCACACTCCATTTGTTACATCTTTGTCCACAAACTTAATCTATCTTTATCCCTCTGTAGCATACTTATGTTCTCTTCACAACTTGCTTTACTACTTATCTTTGTACCATCAGCAAATTTAGCAACAATATCCTTGGTCCTTCATTCAAGTCTTTTATGGAAATTGTAAAATGTTGAGGCCCCAGCACTGATCCCTGTGGCACATGATTCATTACATCCTGCCAACTAGAAAGTGCCCCATATGGCTACTCTAATTCCTGTTAGTTGGCCAATCTTCTATCTACCCCAATATATTACTCCCTACACCATTAACTTTTATTTTCTGCAATAATCTTTGATGTAGCACCTTAACAAATACCTGCCAGAAATACATCACTGTAAGGTTCATTATGCTGGCAAATCAGATAGCTTTCATTGATTTTTTTTCGGTCAATCCATAAAATACCAGTGTGACTGATGTCAATTTTACAACTGACTGTGGTGGAATTCAAAACCAAAACATCTCAGTTGTTGGTTTCTAAACTGTAAATACAAATCGATCAAGGAAAAGTACAAATGTCCTTACCTTCTCTGATTCCTTTGACTCAGTAGACACAAATCGGAGAATACCATCAATGCAGAGTGGCCCTCCTAATCCAGCTAGATCACCAATAATCTTCAAAACTGATGCTATCAGGAACGGACCGCCAAATGCCTTGAAATAAACCTTGGCTAGATCTTGAGCTTCTGCTCTTCCTGAAGGTTTCTTTGCCTAAAATTAATTTTTAAAATATCAAGCTTAAATTATCATTCCTTTTCAGAAATAAGAACTTACAATTATCTAGATACCAAGAATTTTATACAGCTTACTTACCTTTTGCTTGTCATAATACATTTTTAATAAATCAAAATTTTTCTGTGCAGTTTCTTCCTAAGAGAAGAAAATACAAATGTAAGATTGGACAACTACAATGTTTAGAATGTGAACACAACAGTTGTACACCCACACTTGAAAAATTTACTATTAGATGAAGGGTGGCAATCAATACACACTCAGAACTTTCAGAGCAGAGAGTGGGGACAGGAATATAAACAGAAGAAAATAGTTTCAAAGTCTTCAGATACGAAAGAGATTCCAAATTCACTGGTGTACAACATTGCTGATTTTCTATTTACTACTTCGGTTTTAACTGATCCAGAATTTATATTTCTACAATTAGAATTCCTTGTGTACATATAAGCTGATTTCTTTAACATAGATGGTATATTCCAACAATGGAGCTAACAAAATATTTAAAATAATAGGTTAGAAACATTTATTATTGAAATAATGAAATTGATCTTTAGGCTAGCACTCTCGGTTAGAAAAGAGCCAAACTGCCAGGTTTGAAGTACTGCAACTTGCCCAGAATTACATGCTGACTCCAGTAAAATTTTAAGAAAAGACTAACTGTTCAGATGTGCATAATTCAATTTCTCTATTACACAGGAACTTTTAGAGGAAGTCCACATTCTAACAAATTAATGTACTAATTAATAAACAACCTGGGAGAGTTTTCCAAGGTCTTCCATCCTAATTGGCTTCTGGTAGCCACTTTTCAAAACCCATGAAATCCATCTACACAATGAAACAGAAAGCACTGTTGTAATGAAGGCAAACATGATAGGTAAATCGTACAAAGAAAACTCTCACAAAGAATAAATTAGGTAAACCACTAGTTAATTATCTTTTGGTAGCTTTGGGTGTGTGGGAATGCCAGAGTACCATGAGACCTCTTGCTCTTTTTTAAAGAATTCCAATGGATTTCTTGCATCTTTCAGAACAAATAGAGACATCTGTTTAATGCCTCATTCAAATTACTGTGTCTTTATCAATATAGCATTTGCTCAGCATTGCACTTAACCAACAAACTGTTCAATGAGAGCTGGAGTGCATTTGAATCCATACCTTTTGACTCAACACCATGAGTAAAGATTTACCCTTTATAATAGTCTGGTTTTCTGCAATACAGTTGACCCCACAACTGAGTCAATAAAAGCTAATTTGGATTGATTTGAGATCAGTCTGCTGCTAAATGAGTCAGCACAGATTGCTGAAACTGAGTATGCTAAGTTACTGGTTTAGCAGCTGAGTACAATAATTAGACAAGGACCAAAAATGACACCACACGGTCAGCAGCTATGATGAGTCCAAGCAGAAGCATGCTAGGCTAAAGCATGTATATATATGGTGCTCTGTAGCTACAAGTTATAAATGTTTGTTAAATAAACCTGTTTGAGATTTTCAATTCAATGAACCTATGCCACTTACTAATTCACTAAGAGTAGTGATTGTGTTAAAATACTAAACGGTGAACAGCAGTGATTTTTCCTAAAAAGCAAAGGCATTATGCAAACTGAAAAACCACTGGGAAAATATGTCAGACAAGATTTGAAGCAATACAAAACTTACACCTGCATTGAGATCTGGTAGCAGGGGCAGGGTGTAGTGGGGGGTGGCAGGAAAATTATATAGATGTCACTGACAGAACTGTGTGTACTTGATCTGAGCATTGGTCAGATCTGTTGTCCATGTGGGTGATAAGTCACTTCTGGATTGGTCTGTGGACCCTGCAGGACTGTTGAGACAACCTCAGGTGCCATTCAAACATAAAGAAAAAGTACACAAAACAAGCTCAAACAACAACCTAAAACACAACACAGAAGAATTTAAAAGAAGCAAAAAGATGCACTGCAGCTGCATTGCTGAATCTCCACACAGAGTTGCCTTTTAAACTTGTTAATAAAGAACCCTTATACATCATCAATAACCAGCATGAATTGAAAATTCACCAATGTTCTGGAACTATGCCTTTTAGATTTAATCATTGCATAACTGAATAAACCAGTGATGAGAATAAAGATACACTATGAAAATGAAGAACTGTATCGCATCAATACTTCAAGCCTGTCTGAAGAGCACCAGAAAGGTCCTGCTAAGCGATGGGAAAAGCTTCACGTAAAAGTGAATTGTTGAATTCACCATGGAGAACTGATATGACAATATGAATTTTGATCAGTTTGTCAGTTGGTGTTGTGACAAGGCCAAGAACTGTATGATTCCCAAAGGCCAAGCTTTCTTAGCAGATAAGGTACCTGGTTACATCTTAGTGCCCACTGAAGCTTTCCAAAATGACCTCTTGAAGAAAATGCAAAAGATCATGACCTTGATATACTAATAAAAGTTGGTAGAAATATAAACCACTGTAACTAGACATTATCTGCAAGTTTATATGAATGATTTAGACTTGAATGTAGGAGGGTTGATCAGCAAATCTGTGGATGATACAAAAATTGGCAGTGTGGTAAATAGTGAGAAGTCTAGCCTTAGATCGTAGGAGGATATAGATGGGCTGGTCAGAAACAAATGGAATTTATTCTGGATAAATATGAGATGATGCACTTGAGCAGGACAAGCCAGGCAAGGGAATATATGATGAAAGTTAGGACCCAGGGGAGCACGGAGGATCAATGGGACCTTGGTGCACGTGTCCACTGGTCCCTTGGGTAGCAGGACAAATAGATAAAGTGGTTAAGGTGGCATATGGGATATTTGCTTTTATTAGCCGAGGCATAGCTAAACAGCAGAGAGGTTATGCTGGAACTGTGTGAAACATTGGTCAGGGCAAATCTATAGTACTGTGTGCAGTTCTGGAATCTACATTATAGGTGGAATGTGATTGCACTGGAAAGTGCAGGGGAAAATTTGCCACAATGTTCCCTGGGCTGGTGAGTTCTAGTTGCGAAGAAGATTGGATAGACTAGAGTTGTTCTTCTTGGAGCAAAGGAGACTGAGGGGGCGCATGATTGAGATGTACAAAATTATAGGGGGGTGGGTTTAGATAGGGTAGGCTGGAAGTAACTTTTCACCTTGGTGTAGAGGTCAATGGCCACAGGGCAATTTTGAGGCAATAATCAGGATGTTTAGAGGGGAAGTGAGGAAAATCTTTTCCACCCAGAGGTGGTATGAATCTGCAACTCACTGTCTGAGAGGGCATTTGAGGCAGAACCCCTCATAATAGCTAGTAAATTTTTGGATGTGCATTTGCAGTGCCAGTGAAAATGGGAAATGCTGGGAAATGGGATTAGAATAAATGGGCACTTGGATTTAAACAGTGCAGACTTGATGGACCAAAGGACATTGTTCTTTTCTAACTCTATGAATCAACACTATAGGAAATTTCAAAGGCGATGTTACATTGCACTTCAGAGAAGATATAATTCCATCAATTGACACTCTCAGAAAGCGCAATGTTTATAAATAAGAGAAGCTCAAGAGTGAGCTGAATAATGAAGAAACCAAGTGTATTATCCGTTGTGCACATCAGCAGATAGACTTGCGCTATTCTATGACGTGCACACTAAAGAAAGACCGCATAATCAGGATATATTGGACTCAAAACTTTTCTGCAAAGAGATGCCAATACAAATTTCAGCATTAGAAGAACTGAATCCCAAATTCACAGGAGTTAAATTTTTTTCCAAGTTGGATGACATGTATGATAATTAGCATTTACACGGCAAAGGAATCTCAGGAAATCACTACTTTCAGAACACGATTTATTGCTTCTAAAGACTACCTCTCAGCTTAACTGTCAGTCAGGATCTGTTCCACCAGCCGATGGACAGAATAAAGGAAGCGTTCCTGGATGTGTATGTGTTGCCAATGATATTGCATTGATGAGCAAAAACAAAAAAAAAGGATCAAAATCTAGCCTTAATGACAGATTAGAACCCCTAAATACTTTGGACATTTTTAAGTTATCATATCAAAATCTGTTTATTTAAAAAAAAAGACTGCTACTGTTACAATCCCTGATTATAACTTTTAATCCAACTCTGCATAAATAAGACTCGTTTGGAATCTCCTTGTGTACTTCCAAATAATATTTTCTCCTTCATTAACCCCTCAGGAAGACAGAGCATCAGCAGCTAGCAACAGTGATCGACCCATTCCAGTATCTCTTGATATTGTTATTGATTTACGTCTTTAGTTTAAAGCATAAGAAGATACCTCTCCTTTTGAGAAAAACTACTCAGAACCTCCAGTGGTCAGATTTTCCCCATCAAATTAAAAAATGAATTTTCATCAGTGATCTGAACCATCTCTCCTTTCTTAATAGATTCCAAGGAAATGTTCTCTCTGTACCACTGTTACAATTTTAGCAATTGCTTCATTTCCTGATGCAAACAACCTTCTATTTAAATTTTCATCATTTGGATTCGGCATATCTAATCATGTTACAATGAAAGTAGGTTAATTATTTTCCATCACTTTTCAGTTCCAGCTTTTCTCCTTCATTACTTTAACTGCTATGTTCCTGTTCTCCAAAACTAGTATGTCTTGTATCCACAGATTTCGTATCTCTTCAATTTTCATGTGACCATTTCCCAACCTCTCATTGGCTGTGTCAGATCTGATCTGTTGTTTCTGCCAGGATGGCTGCTTCTTGATCTTGAATACATATGTTTATAATTAGCAGGGATGCTATTTCTGGATTCTTCCATGATCATAATCTCCCTCACATTCTTAAAATTTTTCTCGAGCTTGAGTGATCTAAACCACTGATCCCACAGCGCTTCTTTATCCCTTGAAAATTCTACAAATGTTGGGTTAGATTTCTTGCTTATATTACTGATTTCAACAAGCTAATAAACACTGAGTATCATTTATTTTACAGTTTCATACTCTGCAGATTATTCTTCTGGCAAAATGGTCACAGCTCACAGCTGTACCTGCCGAAATGCTATGCAACATTTAAGGTCCAAATCTCTCTTGACCACTTCGCTTCTAATTCCCTTCTCAAATAAAGTAAAATAACTTTCAATTACATGGTCAATAAATTTAGGTACTAAGCTTAGATTTATCATTAAATTAAATCCTGCAGTGAAATCCAAATCATCCTCCAAACTACAAGCCACTTCTTCCTTCTTTATTCTAAGCTTTTCTTTGACCAACATATGTTCTTTAATTTACCCCACGACTTTGGAGTTCAAGTCTTTTCAATTCCATCTCTCTGCTGATCTTGTTCCTCTTTGTTATATAAGTAATAGCTTTCTTAACTCGATTTTCATCTTCGATTACCTCCTACAATTTTTCATTTCCCTCAATTTAAAGCCTTTTCATTTCATTTCTCTAGTTTTTGTTCCCATTTCTAACTGTATCTTGGCTAATTCCAGCTGCAATTTCAGGACTCCTTTCATCCAATTTTAAATTTTGGATAACCAATTACTGTTGTATCACTCTTGATCATCAGTAATGTGTTGGAAGGTGCCATTAAAAATGCTGTCAAGCAGCACCTGCTTAGCAATAACCTGCTCATTGACGTTCAGTTGGGCTTCTGCCAGGGCCAATCAGCTCCTGACCTTATTGTAACCGTAGTTCAAACATGGACAAAGAGCGGAGTTCCAGAAGTAAGGCTAGTTTGACAGCCTTTGACAAAGGCAGTACTTCACAGGGTGTGGCATCAGGAGCCTGAGCAAAACTGGAGTCAGTGGAAATTAGGGGAAAACTCTGCTGGTTAGAGTCATACCTAGCACAAAGAATGATGATTGTGGTTATGATGCGGAGGTGCCGGT